GAAGCGTCTGCTGCCAGCGAGGAAGGGTCTGCGTCCAGCGAGGAAGCGTCTGCGTCCAGCGAGGAAACCGGAAGCTCATCGGGATCGCCGACTACGCAGAAGAAGGCCACGAAGGCTCCGTCCGTTGAGTCGGCGTCTACGTCGGCATCGACTACTTCGTCGGATATGTTCGAAGAGGCTATTGAGTCAGCTTCTAGCTCCACGTCGGGTTCTGATGATGCTAGTGGTTCTGAGGCGTCGGACAGCGGCAGCAGCGATAGTAGTAGCGAAGTCTCTGGCTGCGATGAGGTTTGTACGGACGACTTCGATCCTGTGACGGACGAGGATGGCGTCACATACTCAAACAAATGCTTCATGCAAATGGCGAAATGTAAGCAACGCAAAAACGGGAAAGCGAAAAAGATCTACTCCGCCGATGGTTCAAACTACCCGTTGGAAGGTAGTCGAGACTCGGAATCTCCGATACAGTTGGCTGAGCCACCAACCGGCTCAACCAAGTCTGAGAAACCCTCAAAATCTCTCCGAGGCGCTTTCAGCTCGTCTGGATCCGACAATACTCCGTTCCAGCAATCTAGCGCGTAAAGTTGAACTGAATGACTGGGGCGTAGGATGGCATGGACGTAAGATTCACCACGACGCATTCTCTTTGATACTCTTGAATGAAGAAGTCGTAACCAATGTAGCGTATACTTGTCTTTCATCTTGAAATCGGAAAAACTTCAAGATACGCAAGGTTCATGAACTAATGCCTCGATTTCCTACCAACGTGTGATAGCGTTTGGGCTCACATTCCTTTCTGTTAGTTCACTTAATCTTTGTTCAAGAGCTCCTCAGCAAGCCGCGTGACTTGAGCTCCACAATAATCCACGGGGCGCGGACGATGTGTTGCCGCAGGTTTGGTAGCGTCAAAGGTAAGAACAGCGTCACGCATGTGAGACGGAATAGACTCCACTCCGTGCAGCGCGCCAATAAGTCCGCCCACTATGGCAGCATTCGTGTCGGTATCACCACCTTTCAGTAAGGTCTGCTGAATAGCGCGCTCGTAGCTCTCGTTCTGGCGCAAGAAGTACGTGGCCAACACAAATGCCCAGCGCACATGACCCACCTTCCTCGTACACACAAGGCTAGAGATATCCAACGATTCCTCCAGGAACCACGTGCGCACCACCGAGTTCACGCAATTGTTGACAAAGCGTTCACCGCGGCTTACAGCTCCTTGGAAATCCCCCGGAACACGCAACAAGTGCTCTAGCATGAGGCAATAAACGGCATTGCAGTCTTGACACACTTGATTTGGATGTGACAATGTGGCTTCAGTTCTGGCGAGAGCAGCGATGGTTTCCTCCGGCTGTCCCATGCTCCAGATCGCTAGTGGCGCGATGCGCATGAGCGATCCATTAGCTTCACTGGCCGAGCAATGAACAGCTGCAGTTTGCGTCATAACATCCGCGTATTTGCCGTCGGAATGAGGTTTGGCACCGAACGCCGTGGCGCAAGTATTGCCAATGTCGAAAGGTTTCGAGTTGCACCAGGCCGCGTACTGCTGTGCTACAGACTCCAGCGGGAAACCCTCACTTGGTCGATGTCCCAATAGTCCACGGGCTAAAGACAGCGCTAACTCCGAGTCGTCGGTGATCTGCCCCTTGCCCACACGGAAAACTCCTCCGCCAGGCATCGCCATTGCGCGCGATACATCAGTCTCTGTGATAACACCGGGAGAGAACTCGAGCGTTGCACCCGCGGCGTCGCCGCACAGCAGGCCGAGAAATGCGCCGTACGCGTGAGGCAGCACTTGTACAGCTGGAGTGTTGTTTATCATGCAGATACGTCAACTAGGTAGCGATTTATTATGTTGTCTGTCGTACCGTTTTGTCAGTTACGGTACAGCCGGGCGTAGTTCACTGACCGCCTTTTGGGCATCCTGGACTCCTTTGACTTGAAGTTTGTATGCGCAGTTTTTTTGGACTGCAGGTTTTTGGGCCGCTTTTTGGGTCTTTTGGACCGCAACTCTTTGGGTCTTTTTGGGCCTTTTGGTCCGTCGGCCGTTTTTTTACTTGAAGGTTTTTTTTCGCAAAAGTTGCTTACCATGGAATAAAAAAGTTGCGGTCCATTAATTTTCCCTCGTCTCAGCAGTCCTAATTAGAGCCGTGGGTGCTAAATACTACTGTAAACACCGCAATATCCGATGATTCTGTTTGTTGGAGTAATTAAACTACAAGAAAACAGGAGATGCCGTGGCGACACGGCCGCTTCTATCTTGGTATCCATGGGATCCAGTATCGTGTCAGCACTCGCAAGTCTCCATTAGTCTCGGCGCGATGCGATGGCCCTGGGTGATATTCTCTCAGGGCTCGACCTCGATTTCGCTGCTTGCCATGCCAACAGTGAAGGTTCGATGAGCGACAGCGAGAAAAACTCGGATGGTGTAGGGCAGACATGTACCATAAACGGTGAAGGCAATTTTTCTCCAGATGGGGAATGGAAGATACGAAAGTTGCAGTCGTGCCAGCGGAAGGACACCAGTGTGTTACCAACAAAATAAGTTTGCTAGTCATTCTGCAATTTGCTAAACGCAACACGCCACCTGTCACCAGGTCCAAGCATATTACCCGAATGAAACTTGCTGTAGGTCTCGTGCTCGCGGCTGTCGCCGTTGCCACCGTCACCGCTGGCGACCCAGCGACTCTGTCGACGAAAGAGGAAGCCACGAAGACCACCAAAGCGACCAAGTCGACAAAGTCGGAGAAAACTGGTACCACTTCTAGCAGCAGTATCGGCAGCTTGTTTGAGGATGGTTCTAATGGTGTTATCGGAGACGAGAGTGCGGCAGATGCAACGACTGACCCTAAAATGCTGACTTCGATTGGCATCACTGTCCCCATTGGCAAGGATGGCTCCGGAGGTTTGAACTTGGGTCCTGGTCCTGCAGTATACCCAAGCGACTCGGGCTCATGGGATTGGAGCTGGGACTCGATCGAAGGCTCAGGTAGCTCCCATTACGATTGCGATACCGTCTGCTCGGACGACTACGAACCTGTTTGCGGTTCCGACCATGTCACGTACACGAACGACTGCGCATTCACCGTTGCTCAGTGTAACGCGACCGAACTGGTAGTAGCGAACTCTGGTGAGTGCGCAAAAAGCTCTACTGGCAGCGGCACCGAATCCTGTCCCGATGCGTGTACCATGGATTACTCGCCAGTAACTGACGAAAATGGCGTAAAATACTCCAACGAGTGTGCTATGCGTCAAGCGAAGTGCAAGGGTGAAACCGGGGAAAAGAAGAAAATTGTCACTTTTGCAGTTCTTGACGAGCCTACTGATGCAAAGGGAGCCAAGGAAACCCCAGCTCCTGCTTCGAAGACCACGAAGACTACCAAGTCCGAGAAGACCGGTACTACCCCCGGCAGCGGTATTGGTGACCTGTTCGAGGATGGATCGGACGGTGTTATCGGTGGTGAGTCTGGATCGACCGACCCGACCCTAGTGAAGGGTACCAAGGAGACCCCGGCTCCTGCTGACCCGACCCTGGTGAAGGGTTCCAAGGAGACCCCGGCTCCTGCTTCGAAGACCACGAAGGCTACCAAGTCCGAGAAGACCGGTACTACCCCCGGCAGCGGTATTGGTGACCTGTTCGAGGATGGATCGGACGGTGTTATCGGTGGTGAGTCTGG